TTTTTAATTTTATACATAAAATTATTGTAGATATATTATGATTTTCTATAATTTTTAGAAAAAAGCAATCTAAAAAAAAAATTATTGAACATATATATATTCTAAAAGCACCATATGTCTATATAAAAAAACTCCCAACTACAAACTCAAATGCATCCTGAATGACATTTAATTAGCTAAAATTGTAAATTAAGTCCCTAAACTTACCTTAGATTCTTAATGAAGTCTATAAACTTTTATTAAAATAAACAAACTCTTAAATTGGGTAATTTATGCAATTTACCCTTTTTCTTTAGAGCGAATTTAATATTCATTTGTGCCTCGCTTATGTGAATAAAGTATTAACATATCATTTTATGAATATGGTGCCCAATGCAATCCCTAGTCCATTACCTATGTAGTGGGTATTAATTTTGTATACGTAAATAAAATAAAAATGAGCATTAAGTTTATAGTAAAGAAAAAGGTTGAATTGCCTAAATACCAAATTTAGGAGCTTAATCAAGAGTTTGGAATAAATTTGGGGGCTTAACATCGGGTTTTGCCTTTAAATTAGAGATTTTAGAGAGAGTATGAGGAGATGAATGGGGTCCACCCATTTGCTTTGGTGTTTTCTCTTGGTGCACCATGGATTTAGAACAGAGAAACATTGAGCATATTCTCTTGTTCTCCTCGTGATACTTCTTCTTCTGCTTTTCTTAGATCAGTATATTTCCAACAGATCGAAGATGTCCAGAAGCATGTAAAAGCAATCAACAAGATTAAAGCTGCCGTCAACTCATTTCAAACAAAAGACATGGCTGAGCAGCCTGAGCTTCTTAAACTTTACAAATATGTTGAAGAAAACTTAGAGAAACCAACGGATGAGACCCAGGAAACCATTAGCTTGTAACATTAAAAAAAATTCACTGCAACTGCAATGAACTTTAAATTTCAACCTTTATTCCAACAGAAGAGAAAACATGGGGAAAAAACTAATGCTCTTCAGTTCCGTGGTGCTAGCAAGGTTTGAAGTTTTCGCTACAAAGAAGCTGGAGTCACTGAAGGACAGCAGCAGCCTTATATCTGAAATTTGAAGATGAGGAAACTTGGGTTTCCTTTGCGCCAGCTCCTTGACAAAGTGGAGTCATCTACTTCAACAAGGTAGACCTTTAAAATTATGGAAAGCAATGTTGCATGTAACCCTTGCTTTCGGTTGATTTGCTTCATTAACCCAGAAAGTTTTTGTCAAAACAGGTCAAGATGGAGGTAGATTCATTGGAGAGAAGCAAAGATGAAGAATCTAAGAGGTTTCAGAGTCAAAACAGTCATTTTGACTCTAATGTTTTGATGCAAATTAGGGAATCCATGGTAGATGCTACTTAACTTGCATTGGAGTTGGCACTTTAGGTATAAACTAAGACTTGCTATAGAGCTGACAAAATCCCAAATCTCAGTATTGTTTTTGAGTTGGTTTCAATTTTGTTGATCTTCAATCTAGGAATGGAGGCATATGGAGGCAAATAACTGGTGCTGAAACTGTACCAAGATCCAGAGGCCAAACAAATGCTATGCCTGGTCTTCCAGCTTGCTGCTCGGGCTATAGCTTTGCAAGGGGACAGGACGGCAAAGCAGAGAGGTAGAGTGAACAACCAGCTCAAGAGATGGAAAGTGATCCTCAATCGAGTGATGCAAAATTACAATATAGCAGTACACACCTAAGCAACTTAATCTGCAAGCTCAAACAAATTTTCAGTTTAGAGCTTGTGAGTATCTCGGGCCTCAGTTCTAGACAAGTACTGAGTCCACAACTTACCTGGAGTAACGTGCTGTTATTTAGTTTAAAGGAATTTTCTAATCTATACGTAAGGTAACAAATTAAGAATATATGAATTGCATGTTTTTGTTATTAATTTAAAAGAAAAAAATAAAAGTTCACTTAAGTTTTATCAACCATCCAATTAAATTGTTCTATGTTACATTGCTATTGAAAATAAAATTTATTTTTATAATTTTTTATACAAATAAATAATAAAAAAGTGCAATAAATGTATCCCTAATATGTGTTTACGGGATCAAATTAGAAAAACCCTAGTTTAAAATAGGATTATTAGTAAAGGAATCCAACTGCGATGACAGTATGCTAACTGGGTGATAATATATATCACCCGTTGATATCAGAGCAAATTGTAGCCTGTAGATGGTACAAAACAAAAAGGCTTAATAAATGGGTTGGAAGAGAATTAAGAGGTTCATCTAGCTGAAGACATAAGCGACAACAACAGCAACTCAACGCTCTCACCTTTTCTCTTTCTTTTGGTTCTATATACAGGGCTGAAACATATATATGCCATTGGCCAGTTAAATTTTTTTGCTTTATACTCGGAACATCTTTGACCAGAAAGCAATTGTCTTCCTGCTAGAGCTCAATACAGGTTTCGTTCACCTTAATGCACTGAGCTGCATTCAGGTCAGAAAAAGTACATAAGCGAAACATTTAATTAAGCAAGAGAACTCTATAAAGTGTAGACTGAACATTTTTTTCAGCCATCATAAGGTGAAGAAAAAAACCACAAGAAATAATACTCTCAACATCTTGGTTTTAAGTCAGTGAGTTTAAGAATTTAATTCAACCTGTTACCACATAGCAGTTTAGAACTTGATTTCCAGCAGATGAACTATTTAGTGACAATTTCCTATAGATGCTTGCTCATTTGTGATACAAATCATAGTAAAAGAGAATGACATGTTTCATCTTGACTGATACTACTAGAAACTTCAAAGTAGCCTTTCTTCAACACGTACTGATGGGTACTAACTCCCAAGACCTTAGCAACAAATAATTTGTTATTTAGAGAAAAACTTCTATCCAGTGGTTGGCTATTGATCTTTTGTTGTTGATATCTTGTAAAAAAAATTATAAAATTGCTGCAAATTCCAAATTTCTTTTCAGCATGAGTTAGAGATGATATCATATAGATCAACAAAGTGATCTCTATATTACAACGCATTCTAGTTTTTCTATATTACTACCATTGTCAATTTTGCGTAGTGTGTGGTGCTGCATCAGATGATAAGCATCTTTTCATGCTAACACAAGACAAATGTTTGAGCAAAATCATTAAACCATCCATCACTTGGAAGAAAAAAAAAAAGAAATAAAGTCTTTATTTGGTTTTGCATCATTGTCATAAATGACACCACATAGAGGACAGAACTTCAATAAGTTGATTATTTGTTACAATTAAGTCTAAAATGTCAATGTCTGCTATTTCCTTCTTCATGAACAATACAAGAAAACGACTTTAGAAAGCTTGATGCGTTTGACATTAAAAACCCAAAAGTCAGAATAGACATCTGGTTGGAATGAAGAACTTGTTATTTTTTGAGGAAAAATTTAGTCTTTTGTTAGTTTTTATTTGGTTGGCCTAGTTTTGAGACAGCTTCTCCACTGCAGAAGATGAACATGTACTAGATAGATTTTTTTGGAAAGAGCTTCCGGTTTTTTAAAACCAGCAACCAGAATATTTGAAGCTTCAAGAAAAGAGATCATGCAGTAAAATAGTAAACACAAATTTCTAAAATAATTTCAGTGCGTAATAGTGAAATAGCAGGTAGATTAATGAAGTCTTCTCTTTGCTACTGAAAAAAAAAGAAGGTAGTCTTCTATATATTATTATAAATTCAAATACTAATTTGTTATAGTATCATTTCAACCAAAATCATTAAACCGTGCATCAATTGCCTTAAACAAAAATAATAACTGATTATTTGGTCTTGGGTCATTTTCATTAATGGCATCATATGGTAGAGAGAACTTCAACAGACAAGTGCTTAATAACAAGCTGATTACTTATAACAATTACACAAAGTTGTCTGCATTGTCCACTTGACGAACAATATATGAAAATGACTCTGCAAGACTTCCAGTTTTCTTTCTTTTCTCTCCCAGATAAGTTTCAATGCACCTTACTGCAATTCTTTTATTATTTAAAACACTAATCAGAGAAGAGCTGATGTATCACGATGCCTTTATGACAAGACAAGGAAATTAAATTTCAATCACGATTAGAAAAATAACAGTTATGTTTAATTCAAGACATCTAACATATTCCTCATATGGGCAGCAGCCCCTAATATTTGCATGACTAGTCCAAGCATGCCACAACGTAATGAATGCAACTCTCAGAAGCATAACAACAAACATCTGGAGTACCTCTAGCACAACTTTTCACACCTTGTCTAAAACACCCAAAGAAATGAAATTGACTTCTGAACTATCCTTCTAAACAATAAGAGATGATTGGTTCAAAGCTAGTGTCACTAGTGATTAAGCATTTTCTTCATATTACCAAGAAAGCACTAATTTAATACATCATGAGTATGAGTGATAGTCACCTTTGAGGCTTTTGAGGCCACCTCTGATATTTCCTCTATGCCGAAGCAAAGACCCCACCTTTTCCCCTCCTGCTAATTTGCAACCACGCCACTATCAGTTGGTCGCCAACACAAACACAAATACAAACTGAATCACAAGAATTACATAAAGAAAACAGGAAAAAAAAAAAAAAAAACCCATAATATTATGGATAAAGTTATGGTGGGTTTGATTACCTATTCCTTTGACTGCAGTGTCTAGTGCTAACAAGCGCGCAGTCCTTTTTTTTTTTTTTTTAGAACATAATCACGCAGTCGTCTTTTGTTTGTTGAAAATGTTGTACTTCCACTTTTGTCCAGACAAAGACTAATTATGGGACGTTGGGGATGAATGTGTCAGAGCGTGCCCGCGTTTATCAAGGTTTCAGTCTCATCCTCTACGCCCCTCTTTTTTTTAACTTCAATTTTATTGCTGTAATGGATTCTTCTCATTTAGAACAATCAGATTAGAGGTTTTAGGGATCAGGTTTAGAGCATGATTGGTGCGGATTGTGAAAGAGTTTTTTAGCTCTAAAAGTATAAGCTGCACCAAACGGGTCGGCTTCTCAAACATGTTACAGCTTCCCAAAAGCACATCTTCTCCTAGTTTCTTTGCAAATCTGGGAAGCATCAATTTTGTGTTTTTGCAGGAGCTTCTCGCTTTAGGATTAATGAAATTGACATGATATTTTCATTTTATCCTCACATTTCTTTTTATTTACAAAAGATTAGTATATAAAGGTTCCAATTTATATCATCACCCACTATTACCAAGCAGTCTAGGCACATCTGTTTCTTCCCAGTCTTTTTAACTATCTTCTTCCTCATCCAATCATAAAAACAAATTGAAAATCTTTACTGTATTCTTCCCCGTCTTCTTTCTCCCTAAATCAAAAATCCCTCATCTTCAATTCGGAAACAAACTCATGAGTTGGGTTTGCGATGAACTTTGCGCTTGGGTTTTGAGACGAACCCTACGCATGTGTTCGCGACGAACCCAACAACTGGGTTCCAAGACAAACCTCGTGCCTAGGTTCGTGCAAACCCAAAGGTAAAAAAAAAAGAGAAGAAGAAGAAAAAAATAGAGGGGAAGGGGAGAATAATAACTTTTAAACTATTTATATTGATAATTATATAATTAAATGATTTTAAAGTTATATTAATAAAAAATTTAACCATGTTATTAACTTTTATCATATGGATATTTCATGTAATTTAAGTAAAGAAAAAATATAAATTTTTTCTTAATTAATGTCACATTAAAACTTAACAATAAGTATTAAAAAAAATTGAATTTTTTAAATTTTAAGGATTAAAAGAAGATTTTTTTTAGTAGAAGAATTAGAAAAGGATTTTTTTTTAAATAATAGAAGACCAAGGAGAGTATTTAACTTAAGTTTTAATTTTAATTATCTTATTTATGTTATTTAAATGTAATAATATTTTATTTTTTAATATTAAAATATAATTATTTATCTAACATTTATGTTTTAAAATTTAAATAATTAATTTTTAATCATCAACTTTAAACTAATTGTAAATTTAAAGTCATATAAAAATATAAAAAAATAAAGAGGAAGTGATGAAAAAATAAACAATGTATGTTTCAATCATTTTAATATTAAAAGATATTCTATAAAAAATATTTACCAAATAACTTTTCATTTTATAAATACTTTTATAAAAAATTTTACCAAACTCTATCTACTTTTCAAAAATAGTACTTTTACAACAAATTCTTTTTATCATAATTTTTATTAAAAATTTCAACTACACCAAACATACTCTTAATCACTTCTGAAAATAGTTAGTTAAAAGTTTAAATGTTCAGTGCTACCTAAGGTCTGCAATTGCTAAAGGCTCCCCATTATAGTAACTATTGAATACTCGAAATATGACGCCCTGTGCTCCCGCTTCTATGAGGTCCTCCTCCCATTTATATTACCACCCCCCACCCCCCAAAAAAAAAAAAAAAGAAAACCACATTTTTCATTTTGACTGATGTCTGTAATTCCGACACTGAATTTACTATAATATGACTAATAAATTATCAAAGATAAAAATTTCATTAAATATTTCGATAAATTCAAAATTTGAATTACATTCTTTTTTTTTAAAAATAAATTAGCAAGGGATGGACTCGAAAGTCGCTCATAGAGAAAGAGAAATGTATCTCAAATTGACAGATTACCAATTGACCCAAAGACTCGGTGCGAATTACATTCTTTTATTCAGTTTAAAAAAGACAATTTTTATATTGTATTAGGATTTTAAACTTTTCATAGCTAACAACAGTAGTGAATTAGCCTCTTTTGTCTTTTCTTCTATGAAATGAGGTAATACATAAACATGACAAATGTCAAGATTAGCTTGTAGTGGGGCAGTTTTTTTTCCTCATGAAGACTTAGATCAGAACTATCTTGTCCCACTCTTCCCTTTTGTCAAACCCACACCTCCTAAATATATCGAGCCCCAACCATGAACAATCCCAGCTGTCTTGCCATTTTGCTTCAGTTTCTCACTTCAACTCTCAACCCTGAATTTCTTCTTTTCTCCTTTCACTGCTAAGACACAACCCAAGACATCTTTTTCAAGTTCTATGCTACTTGAAACTATGATCCTATGATTCTCAAACACAACTTCTGTCTGAAATATAATCTCCTCTTCGAAAGTACGTCTGGTACTGCTCTTGGGGGTGGAAGAAGGCCTAGTTGAAACTCATCAAGCATGTTTGATATCTTCTTTGGGTGGCGAAAGACTTCGAGATGGTAGTTTTTAAAGGTGAACTTTGTTGGTTTACAGCTGTTCTTACAAGTTTTTCATATTCTGTTATGTTGCAGTAAGAAGTTGATCAAGCAAGTTCAGTGCCGCCTGAAGCTGCTGAAAAAAAAAAGGTACACGATGGTGAAACAGTTGAGGGAGGATGTGACCGAGCTTATCAAACTTGGCTATGAAGAAAGTGCCTTTAACCGGGTAAAGCAATGAAATTGAAAAGCCGACACTCTGTATCTCCCCTGTTACTTCCCCTGTTTTCTTCTTCTTTTTTTTTTTTTTTTCTTTTTTCTTTTTTTGTTTCTTTTCTTTGTGAACTTTTTATAACATTCTTCCATTGCCAACCATGTTAACATTTAGCCGAATCGAGTGCCTGACACATTGTGGTTATAGATTTTTTTCATGTTTTTTCTCTGTAATTCCAAGGATTTAAGGAGAATGTCTATACAAACTTAAGGTGTTTTACTCGTGTTGGACTTTGGGTCGTTAGGGTAAAGTGAAGACTGTGCACTATGGCTTATGGAGCAATCAACTTGCTCTCCTTCTTGTACATTTTTCATTCATCTTTATTCTTGATTTCAGGTTGAGCAAATCTTCAAAGATGAGAAAATAATGCCAGTCTATGATATTTTGGACCATTACTGTGAATTCCTCACTCTTGATCTCTCATATATCCGCAGAAACAAGTATGTGTAATTGCACCAAACCCGAAGTCCTTCTTCAGTCCGCGCTTGCACTTCGGAA